AGAAGGCTTTCTGGGAAATGAACCCTAATAAGAGTCCGGGACCTGATGGCTTCGGAGCTGGATTCTTTAAAGCAGCATGGGATATTGTTGGCAAGGACGTCACAGGTGCTGTTCGGGAGTTCTTTTCCTCATGCCAGGTACTTAAACTACTTAATGCAACTACTTTAACTTTAATTCCTAAGATTTAATCCCCGAGTCATGCTAGTCAATTCAGGCCTATATAGCCTGCTGTAATGTCTTGTATAAATGCATTTCTAGAATACTTTGTAATAGATTGAAAGAAGTATTACCTAAGTTTGTTGATGAAAATCAGAGTGCGTTTATTAAGAATAGACTGATTATGCATAATATCCTTATAACCCAGGAGCTTATTAGGTTATATGGAAGAAAAGGTGTTAGTGGTAGAATGCTAATGAAAATAGAGCTAAAGAAAGCGTATGACTCAGTTGACTGGGGATTCATTGAGGAATTAATGTTAGGGTTAAGATTTCTGGAGCAATTTATGGATTATGGACTATATTGCTAATCCTTCTTTCTCACTATCGCTGACAATCTGTTGGGTTCTCTGTCGGGAAAAGGGGGTTAAGGTAGGGAGATCATGTATCTCCACTTTTATTCGTGTTAGTTATGGAATACTTAACCAGAAGCCTGAAATGTGTAGCTGTGAATGATTTCAAGTTCCATCCCTTGTGCCATCAGTTGAGGCTTACAAACATTTGCTTCGCAGATGATCTCATGATCTTCTGCAAAGCAGATGTTCAAACTGTAAACCGTATTATGGCAGTATTCCATTATTTTTCTGAGTGTACTGGTTTGGTTGCTAATACCCAAAAGTCATATATATACTTTTGTGGAGTTAATGAGAAGGACCAGGAACTGTTTTGTAAAATTACGGGGTTCTCTAAAGGTGTTTTCCCCATGAAGTACCTAGGAGTCTCCCTTTCTCCGAAAAAATGGTCCAAGGTGGAATGCCAAAATATAGTAGATAGAATTGTAACCAGAATTAGGTGTTGGAGCACTCGGCATTTGTCATATGCCGGGAGACTTACACTTGTGAACTCTGTGTTGATGGCGATGTACGCTTATTGGGGATCCATGTTCATATTGCCACAAAGTGTGACTGAGAAGGTGAATAGAGTGTGCCGGGACTTTTTATGGGGTGGGAAGTGTGAAGGTCGATCCTGTGCCCTGGTGAACTGGACTGAGGTTTGTAAGAAGAAGTGAGAAGGTGGATTGGGAGTTAAAGATGCAAAAATATGGAATAAAGCAACAGTCTTGAAGCAGGTATGGCAGCTATGTCAGAACAAGGAGGGTTTACGGGTGAAATGGATCCATGGCGTTTACATTAAAAAATCCTCCTTTAGAGATGTGGAAGTTAAACAGGATACGAGTTGGCAATGGAAACAATTGATTAAATTGAGAGATCAGTCAAAAGCAGCTTTTGTGTGGAATAGATGGAAATTTAGAAGGGATTGGAAATACACAGTGGCTTCTGGTTATAAATGGCTCATGGGGGGAGGTGAAACAGTGAAAGAAACTCAAGCAATATGGGCCAGTGTTAACATCCCCAAGCATGCATTTAAAGCTTGGTTGGTGCTGAAAGGCAGGCTGTTAACCAAAGATAGGCTGCTAAGAATGAATGTATCTGTACAGGATGATGTTTGTTGTCTTTGCAGAAGGGAGTCTGAGACCATGGATCACCTGTTCTATCAATGTGAGTACTCTCAGGAAATTCTGAACCTGGTTCAGAACTGGCTTGGTTGCAGAAGGATTGTGTTAACGCACTAAGGTGGAAATGTCAGTTGCAGCAGCAATTGAAGGGATAGAAGGTAAAGAGATGTATCTTTCTAGCCACCTTCATGAGTTGCATATATAATATCTTGCAGGAGAGGAATAAAAGACAATTTGAAGATGTAGAAAGAGAGCCTGAAACAGTCTTTAAACAGATGCAAATTGAATTGAAGTATAAGTTGGGCAACAGGATGCTAGGAGGAGGTAAAGGAGCAGCAGGGAACTGTTTGACCATATATGATATATATAGTGTAGGTTGCTGATATGTAAATTAGGTTGTGAAGAGGTGTGAAATGACCTCATAATTTTGTGATAGATAAGCAGAGGAACTTTTGTAAAGCGTTTTGCACTATTTGGTGTTAATGTATAAAATGTTTACCTTTTCACCAAAAAAAATAAAATATTATTTATATATTGTAAAAAAAGGCATTATTTTTAGATCTACATCACTTTTGATTTTTATAATTAAATTTTTTTATGTATACCTGATTAAACATAAATGTATTTGTGTTGCAAGGATTTAATATATAGTTTTGTCTATACACAAAAATGTTAAGTATAAACTGATAATATTCCTTCGGTCTTTATTATATGGTATTTTTTAAAGGTTTTTTTTGGTCCTATTTATTAGGCATTTGATGTTTTATTGTTTCATTTGTAATACGTTTCCTTTTTAGTTAATCTAACTTAAATTGCATAAACTTTAATTTGATTAGTTCTTAGAAATTTGGGAGAATTTTTGACATGAATGATATTGGATGAGATTTTCATTAAAGATGGTACAAATCTAAAAACTAAATGCGAATAATTTTTTTTAGATAAAATAGTATGATGCAGTTAATTTACCCATTTATTTATTTATGTGCCTATATTTTCCACTTACTTTTTTCCCCTAACCTATTTTTACATAGTTTTAATTTAAATTATAAAGGTGGAACAATGATTTTTTTCCTCAATATCGTTCAACAGTTTTTATTATTTAATTTGTTATTTTTCAATTGTTTTACACACTCTTTAATTGTTTTACCTGCTCTTTTCTTAGCTCTACCCGTTTAAACTTTAAAAAGATTTTGCATTCAAAATATAGTGGTTTTCAATTTTTCACTTTGAAGAGGACAATAAAAACTCAGTCACAAATAATTATTTTGGAAAAGAATAAAGTTTTGTAATGATCTAAATTTTGAAATGAAGAGAGAAAGATATAAAATGGCTAAGGCTATATTTGTTCTATCATTTTTAGGGGTTTTTTTTTGTTATTAGAAACTTAGAATGGAAAGAGGTGAAATACAATAACAAACACACTAGATGTTAAACCCGTCCGATGGACGGGGCAGAAAAAAAGGTGAAGAAAATAAGTTATCGAGAATTAAAAAACAAAATTTGACAAACATTAAATAGAAAATGAAGAATCGTTACAATAATTTTTTATATACTCTTGTTACTCATCCATCTATCTTCACTGCGCATTGAAATTTTAAATCATTTTTGTGTGGTATTCCTGAATAGAGCAACATATAATTGAGTTTGGCTAAAAATCGGAAATGGCGCATATAAGCTAACTTGAGAAAGTGACTTTTTTGCACTGTTTTCAATCTCTAAAAAAAAATAAAAATTATAATGGTGCAAATCAAAATAAGGCATGCTCATCAATATATAAAAGCTAACTTGTTGAAATATACTTCTTTGTGCATATGGATTCTGTTTTCAATCTCTAGTTCGAAAACCCTTCTAGCAGAAGTAGGATTACGAAATGTAACCTACTAATGGAAAATTAATCAGCAAGTTACGAAACAAAGTTTAATTGAACTTACATCGCAATAATATTCATGGATTTTATGGTGCTCAATCCACATGAAATGAAACAGAGGTTGTAAGAATTCCTTGTTGAAATGGATGAAATAAGGAGGCCTACGTAAATAGGGAAGAAGAAGTTAGTAGAAAAGGAAGAGAGAAAACTCAAGAGGTCTACTTAACAAAATTTAAAAACTTTAAATAGTAGTTGAATTTCGTCTCTTTGGCCTCGTTATTATTTTGGAAAATCATGATAATCTCCATTTGAAATTTAAAGGTTAGTTAATCATATAATGATTATATAGTAATAAATAATGGTAATTTATTTATTCTAATTTTTTAAAACTAAAAATTATAGGAAATTGACACATAGGATTCGACATTAGGAGATTGATTTAGTTTTCTCTTTCTGGGTTTTGCATTATTATATTATATAGATATAGATATAGATAGATTACTAAACACCAAAAAATAGTACAAATCTAAAATAGTACATATTAGCAAAGAGCGTAAAATTTTGTTTATGCTCATTTATGTAATGATATTGGGTGTGATTTTCATTAAAAATAGTACAAATCTAACAACTAAATGCAAATAACAATTTTTTAGGTAAAATAGTATGATGTAGTTAATTTACCTGTTTATTTATTTACTTATGTGCCCACGTTTTCCACTTAATTTCCCCCTAACCCGTTTTTCATAGTTTTAATTTAAATTATAAAGGTGGAATAATTATTTTTTATAGTTTTAATTTAAATTATAAAGATGGAAGAATGATTTTTTTCCTCAACAATTCGTTCAACAGTTTTCATTATTAAATTTGTTATATTTTATTTGTTTACAGACTCTTTAATTGTTTTACCCTCTCTTTTCTTTGTTTGAGTTGTTTGCATTCTTCATTTAGAAACTTTAAAGAGATTTTGCATTCAAAATATAGTGGTTGTCTATTTTTCGCTTTGAAGAATAAAATAAAAACTCAGTCACAAATAATTATTTTGGAAAAGAATAAAGTTTTGTAATGATATAAAAGAATATCTTTCATTTTGACAATCGTCCTTTGATCGTTAAAAATTGGTCTTAGAAGATGGTTTCAAGATTGAAGATATCTGTAAGGTTCCGGTTTGAGTCCAGCTCCCAAATTACCCCTGCGATATTGGAATGCCAAGATCTTGAGTAGGACTATCAGCATCCTTGGTAAGCCGATTGAAATGGATGAGATGACCTCAATGAAGAACAGGACTGGATTTTCTCGTATTCTCGTGGAAATGGAGATTACGGAGAAGATGCCCGATTCATTATGGTTTGAGGATGAACATGGAGTTCTTCAAGAACAAAAGGTCAAGTATGAATGACAGCCAATACAATGTAAGACGTGCAGAGGTTATAGGCATGAAACTGCAAAGTGTAGGAAGCAACAAATGGTTGCAAAGAGTCCAAGGAATGCAGCTATTGTTCCTCAAAGTTCACCAGCTAAGCAAGTGGCAGAAAGATCAAATGTTGTTCCTAATAGCACTTCTTTAATTCCTACTAAGCTGCTAAAGATTCCAAGGAATACAAATGATGTTCATCATAGTTCACCTGCTAAGAAAGTGGCAGAAGAGTCAAATGCTATTCCTAAGAGCATCTCTTTAAATCCTACTAGGCAACTACAGGAGGCTAGGAGAACTGGTCCTGAGAGGGTGATTTGTAATCAGATTCAAGGAAGGGAAAACTTAAGACTAAGCAAACCTTCCCGGGATAAGGTCCAAGGTCAGACTGACGATAAGCAACCTGCAACAAGATAGGAGGAAAAAAGTGGTGTATAGAAGTATCATAAAAGGAATAATGGCACGAATAATGGTTGTAACATTGGAACTAGTAACCCCTCACTGGGACCTGGTTACCATGTGTAACCTCTTCTGTTGGAATGTAAGGGGGCTTAACAGCCCCCTGAAACACAGAAAGGTAGACATTGCCTCTTTGTTAACGATGTATGTATAGCAGGTCTGGTTGAAACTAAGCTCAATGAATTTAAAGTTAGAGAGCTCATGGAGAGAAAGGGGTATGCGTATGGTTATGTCAGTAATCATAAGAATGGAGGTAAAGGGAGGATTATGATCATATGGCAACCAGGAAATTATAAGTTGAGTAATATTAGAATTGAGGAGCAGATGATACACTGCGCTGTTCAAGATCTAGTTCATAGCAGGCTCTTCGATCTCACAGTCATCCATGCAGATCATCAGCCACAGAAAAACGCAGAACTTTGGAACCAGCTAATGGATCTATCCGGTTAGGTAGGGCATGGATACTAATAGGAGATTTTAACTGTATCTTTCAGCCAGAAGAAAAAGTGGGGGGTAGTAATATTGTTAGTTCAGATACTGGGTTATCCAAAATGGTGCTTGATCATTGTGATCTCAAAGAGATGTAGACTCTTGGCCCTCAATTTACCTGGAGTAATAAGCAATTGGGAGGCGACAAAAATTTATCCAAGCTTGAGAGAACCCTTATAAACGAACAATGGGAAGGGGTGTTTCCAGAATAAACAACCAGAGTCTTGAAAGCGGTAATTTCGGATCATAGTCCTCTGTTGGTGAGATGGAGTAAAGTGGTCGAAAAAAGCAGCAAAGCCTTCAGATTCTATAACATGTGGGCATTGCATCCTGATTTTGAAGTAGTTACAAAGGAAGCTTGGTTTTCCGAGGAAATGGGCACTAAGCAGTTTTTGCTTGTACAAAGACAAAAGAACTTGAAGCCAAAGTTAAGGAAACTGAGTAGGCAACATTTCAGTGATATTGAAATCAGGGAGCAAACAAAGAAACTGGAACTTGATGAAATTCAAGCTTTGCTACTGGATGATCCTGATAATGTTGGACTGCAAGAGGATGAGAGAAGAGTTACCAAAGAATATCTGGACTACAGCAAGATGGTTATCAGTTATTGGAGTCAAAGGCTTAAGGAGCGACGGATTCAGGAGGAAGATCGTAACTCTAAATACTTCCACTCTTGCACTCGACAACAAACGATTCAAAACAGAATTATCTCATACACAGACCAGCAAGGGAATGTTGTTGAAGACTGGGATCAGGTACAACAGCACTTTTTGAATTATTATATTCAATTGTTGGGCACAATGAAAACTAGGATTTCAGCTTCTAGTGAAATCTATAACTCAGGGATTAAACTGTCTGTATACTAGCAGATTCTCTTGGTTAAAGATTTCACTAGAACTGGAATAAAAGAAGTATTGTATGATATAGATAAAAATAAAGCCCCTGGTCCAGATGAATTTAATAGTGGTTTTTATAGATATGCTTGGGATATAGTACGTGATGATGTATGTGATTCTGTCTTAGAATTCTTTTAAACGGGTAGATTACTGAAGCAGCTGAACTCTACTCTAATAGCCCTGATCCCAAAAAATTCAAACCCTAGAGATGCCATGGAATACCGGCCAATAGCATGTTGTAATACCATATATAAGGTCATTACTAAGCTGCTTAGTAAGCGTTTGAGCCTTTTGTTGCCTGATATTATAGACCTAAATCAGAGCGCTTTTATTCAAGATAGGTCTATCATCCATAATGTGTACCTAACTAAGCGTTTGAGCCTTTTGTTGCCTGATATTATAGACTTAAATCAGAGCACTTTTATTCAAGATAGGTCTATCATCCATAATGTGTAGCTAACTCAAGAATTGGTGAGGTTGTACCATAGGAAAACCTCTAAACCTAGCTGCCTCATGAAAATTGACCTCAAGAAAGCTTTTGATTCTGTTCACTGGGATTTCATAGAGGAAATGCTCAATCATTTAAAATTTCCTCCAAAGTTTGCTGGTTGGATCATGGAGTGCATAACTATGCCGAGTTACTCTCTCAGTCTCAATGGCGATAGAGTTGGTTACTTCCCAGGTCAGCGCGACTTACGTCAGGGGGATCCCATCTCGCCTCTTCTCTTCGTAATGGTTATGGACTATCTGACTAAGCTACTCAAAAAGGCTGCTGGATCATGACAATTTAAGTACCACCCCTTCTGTGATAAGCATAACATTGTGAATCTCAGCTTTGCAAACGATCTGATAATTGTGTGCCAAGCCGATTTGCAGACAGTTACCCTAATAAAGCAAGCGTTTTCTGAGTTTAAAGCCACAACCGGACTCATAGTGAATCTGCAAAAATCCAACATCTATTTTGGTGGTGTCAAAGAGGAGCATAAAGAGAAACTGTTGCAAGTTATGGGCTTCCAACCAGGTAACTTCCCTATCAAATACTTGGGTGTACCTATATCATCCTCAGCCTGGACTCAGAGTGATTGTGACTGTGTAGTTCAGAAAATTGTTGCTAGGATCAAATGTTGGTCAACTCGGCATCTCTCTTATGCTGGTGGACTCACATTGATTAACTGTCTTGTTGAATCTTCATTCTTACTGGGCTGGAATCTTCCTCCTCCCAAGTTCTGTGATCAAGCAAATAGAGAGGCACTATAGAGAGTTTCTCTGGGGAAAGAACGAAGAGGGAAGAAGCATTACATTAGTGGCTTGGGATGAAATCTGCAAAAATAAAGCTCATGGTGGTCTCCATATCAAAAGGCTAGGAATTTGGAACCAAGCAATGATAGGGAAGCAGTTGTGGGACATTGCACGACATAAGGAGAGCCTCTGGATTAGCTGGGTTCACTCTTATTACTTAAAGGGAAAATCCATCTGGGATTATGAGCCTCCCAATGATTGTAGCTGGCATTGGAAGAAGCTGCTAGCAGCCAAAGAGAAGCTCAGAAGTGGCATTCAGAATGGACAATTGTCTGGAACTAGCAAGGCACAATATTCTGCTAAAGAAGGGTGTAAATGGCTGACAGGGGAACAGAGTCAGTTTAGAGCTGCAAAGATTGTTTGGAATCCTTACAATGTGCAGAAGCACAACTTTATTGCCTGGATAGCCATCAAAGATAGGCTGCTGACCTTGGAGAGATTAGAGTATCTCAGGCTGGTGCTGGTCTTTTAGAAGACACTGATCATCTCTTTTCTAGTTGTCCTTACTCACAGCAGGTACTGGAAGCTATTCTAGATTTGCTGGGACTAAAAATGAGGTTTCTGTCTTTGAGATTAAGCATCAATCACATCCTTAAAGTTTGGAGATATAAGAAGGTTTGGAAAAGGGTTCTGTATGCTGCTTTAGTAGCAGTTGTATACCACATTTGGGCTGAAAGAAATGCCAGAAAATTCCGGCAGCAAAAATTGTCTATTCTAGAAAGGATTACATGTATAAAAGAGGAGGTTACATGGAACATTCAGTTTCATTGTAGAAGAGCTAGTGGTGATGATATTCGGTTTTTGAATTGTATAGGAATACTTAGTTGAGAAATCCTTTATAATAGTTCTCTTATGTAAATGAATTGATGTAAATATTGTTGGAAGTCAATACAAGTTTACTGTCCCCCGAAAAAAAATTTTGAAGTGAAGAGAAAAAGATATAAAATGGTTAAGGCTATATTTGCTCTGTCATTTTTTAGGTTTTTTTTTATATATATTTTTGGTTAGTAGAAACGTAGAATGCAAAGAGATGAATTACAATAACAAACATATTACTAAACACCAAAAAAACTCTTAACAGATTCTTTTAATCTCCTTGTTTATATTTGTAAAGTTTCCCGCTGTCACTCATCAGTTACTCCCAGAAGAGTTGACATCAACAAAACTTAAACCAAAATAAAAAATTGTGAAAAATTGGCTCACGAATGAGAATAACCCAATGGGGCTTTCAAATCTTGGGACACAGCATTGTTTACATTTTCTACTTTCAAACATCAATTTTGCGAATTTATTTTCTCCCTTCAAAATTTCTACTCAATAAGAAATTCTTTTTTTTAAAAAAAAAAAAAAATCATCAACATGGTGTGGCAGACGACTAAATGATAGCAAAAATTCTGTGCGACCATTTTAAGAGTATTGACGCGGTCACAGAATTCAGTCCAGAAACAAAACTTTATTTATTTCTTAGACCATTTAATTTATCATTCAAAGTTAAAGCAGAGCATGCAATGATTAGAAGATTCCTTAATTGTATTGTAAAGAGAAACCATATATTTGATGTATGTGTAGGAGAGGACCGGTTTCTTTAAAAAAAATAATAAATGTGCAACCTGAAAAATGAAAAACACTTGTTTTCGGTTTCCTAATCAAGGAGAAAAAAAACAAAATGATTATCTGACCATAAACAAAAGTATATAACTAATGAGAGATCCCTCGTATCTGAAAAAATGCTCAAAGCTAGAACCAAAACTATGTTAAACTACTTCTTAATTGGAGAGATTCCTGTGGCAATGTAATGTTGAAAGAATCTCAAAATTTCTCACCAAATTCTTCACCTTCTGAATGCCTTCTCTTTTGCTAATTATGCTTATGTTGTCTAACCTATCCACAAGGGGGATGAAGAGATAATGCAGTAGTTCGTAAATTTGGGAAAATGTTATTTGAGATAGTGCTGAATGCTGATGATTAAAAAGAAAAAAAACAAATGATTTATGTAATGAGATGACTGCTAAAAACTTTTTGCACCAATAAGAATGTTGGAATATTTCTATGATTCCTGATAACTTATGGCCAACTCCTCTATGCAAATCATAGCCATAACCAAAAGAGGAAAACCACGTCAAAATTATGCTAACACTTAGCCATAGAACTAAAGAAACCACATAGTCATAGTGAAAGAAACCAGCATCCTTCATCATCCTCTGCCACCCTAAGACATTTAAAAAAAAAAAAAAAAAAGAAAAGAAAGAAATTTACGACAACAACAAAGATTGGAGCATTGAATTTAAAGTGGAAAAGAAAAAATATAAAAACCTCAGGGTTCAAGCAAGAGTACGATGGTGATGCTCATTTATCGTATCACTTGTATAATTTTCAAAAAGAGTACGATGAAATTACTTTTAGTGGATTGAAATGAGATAGAGATAATACTCTTCTAAATAAGGATAAGAGACACAGTTATATTCAAATTTGAATGTCCACTCATTGAAAACACTAGTGAAGATATGGATATGTTGCCCTGTATATGTTAGGTGTCTATTGGATTATTTTGTAGAAATCTCGGGGGAATGTGATAATTTATTATTATAATAGCAATAATCAAATGACCAAATTAGTTATAACTGCTCAAAGTTGAAAGATTTTTTAATCAGATGAGATGAGATTAACTGGAAATAAGCTAGTTAGTTATACTCCTTTTACATAATGAATTGAATTTAAACTCTAAACTATAGTAATTAATGGTAACTTTTATTTTGTGATATTTTAAAAGCTAAAAAATTGAAGAAATTGCCACATAGGGATTTAATCCTATTCGGCGAATGGAAAACCTTTCAGTATTCTCTCTCCGGGTTTTCCATTAGTATATATACATATATAGATATAAACCCCCATTAGGTTTTGTGTTGGGTAGTAGTAAACAAATTTTCAACTCTTTTTTCTTTTTTTTGCATATTAATATTCCATTCTTTGACTCAAAAAAGAGCAAAAAAAAACTTCCACATTTATTTATTAATAATTCCTGTTTCGGTATGAACAAGAATGGCTGCGGTCCCGGCGGGAAGAACGGCGACGGCGGCGCGTGGAAGCCGGCGGTGATGATGATCGCCGGTCAGGTAATGTTGTCGGGGATGAATATATTGTTGAAACTGGCAGCCAATGATGGGATGGATAGCCGGGTTATCGTGGCTTATCGTTTTGTTTTCGGGGCTGTTTTCATGGCTCCCATTTCATTCTTTTCCGAAAGGTTTGGGTTTTGTTTTCAACTTCCTTCTTCTTCTTCTTCCTTTTTCCCCTTTTTTTTTTTTTAAAAAAAAATGGTCTTTTGTTTTTTCCCTTTTCATTTCCCATTTGTTTTTTTTTTGGGATGAGTAAATGAAGATTGTATAGTAATGGTGTAATGGGTTTTATCTTAGGTTTATGGAAACTTACTAAATGTGCTTTGAATGAGTTCAAATTTTTCTGGGTTTAATGGAGAATTAGTTAACTGAAAGTTTTGCCATCATGAATCGATCCCTTTGTTTTTCTTATTCGATTTTGTAGGATTAATGATTTTGTATACGGGTTGTCATGAGGTTTATCTTAGCTTTGTTGGTTTCTTTGGAAATTTTGGGTTTGTTGGGTTTAAGGTAGGATTTTGTGATTGTTGCGATCATGAATCTTCAATGAGGTTTAAACTTTAAATCAGAGCTTTTTCAGCCCTTATTTTTTCTCCCCTTTTTGGTTAAAGCTTTTTTCTGCCTTTTCAAATAATACGAAGAATTCCATATTTGGTAATGTGCATGCAATATACAATCATCATGAGGATTATCTAGATTTTTTTGTCTTGTTTTGTTTTTTTTTTTTTAGTAACTTCTTTTCAAACTTTCCTGGTGAATTTTGGCGTTTAGGTATGTTGATTTATGGTTTCTGAAGAATCCAATTTACCTAAAATCTGCTATCATTCTCACAATTCAATCAATATGTTTCTCCAGAAAATCAAGGCCGAAATTGACATGGAAAGTGTTCTTCTACGCCTGTCTTGCTGGTTTATTCGGGTGAGTAAATTTTGGATACCGGAAAAGTCGTTTTACCAAAAGTTACTATTGTATCAATTCTTGCACTATAGTTTAATCAATTCGTTATGACTAATTTTTGTCATATCTCCTCTGTTTGATGCAGCGGATCATTGGGCCAGAATCTGTATTTACAAAGCTTGGTACTGACATCTGCAACATTTGTCTCAGCCATGCTCAATCTTGTTCCTGCTGTCACATTTCTAGTCGCCCTTTGCTTCAGGTTTTCTTTCCTTTAATTCATTGATCTCGTAGGATAAATCTATGTATATATACTTTTTTTGCTAAATGTTTCAAATCTTCTCAGGTTGGAAAAGTTAGGCTGGAAAACAGCAGCAGGCAAAGCTAAGATGTTGGGAACAATATTGGGAATAGGCGGAGCCATGGTGTTCACATTTTACAAAGGTCCAGATGTCACCATTTGGGATACAAAACTAAACCTTCTGGAGCTAACCAGCAGCCATCATTCAGCCACCAAACCAGCAGCTGCTGGAGGTGATCATAAACTCGTGATCGGAATCATCCTCGGGTTGTTGAGTTGTGTTTCTTACTCACTTTGGTTGATCATACAGGCAGGTTTCCCGTTACAGAATCATTATAAAATCTTCATAATTGATATATTTTTAATCTCGGTACCAAAATAAGTGTCTTGCTTGTTCTGATGAACTTTTTTTTTTTTTGTTTTTCTTTTCTTGGAACAGGCGCGAGCATCTGCCGATTATCCTGCTCCATTATCCTTTACAGGTCTCATGAATTTCACATCAGCGGTATCGAGTGCTCTTTACGCAGTTTGCATGCAAAGAGACCCTAGTGAATGGAAGCTAGGATGGAATATACGACTCCTAGCTGTTGCTTACTCGGTAAGGATGATAATTTTCCTGACCTAATTATGTGAGCTCATTTAAACCGTGCTATCTATTGTTGTAATATTGTGAATCAGTTTTACACATCTTTTTATTCAATTCTGTTATTTGCAGGGGTTTGTCTGCTCCGCGGTACTGTTCACCATAGTCGCGGTAGTCGTACGAATGAAAGGTCCAACATTTGCTGCAGTTTTCAATCCTTGTGTGCTTGTGGTTACTGGCTTGGTCAGTTCGCTAGTGTTGGAGGAGGACCTATTCTTGGGAAAGTAAGTTGCCTTTTCCTAATTAACGTGACAAATCTATCTTTGTGGCTTTGTGTATATAATACTAATTCATATACATCTCAAACTTTTAAGTTCAACTATTTAATTCTGTCCGGACAATGTCCTTTTCATATTCAAGGTAGATCCCTCGTGAGACATGATACTGTCCCATAAATCATGGAAATTTCCGTCTCATATTAATAGTATCATTTGTCTCACTTTTCGATACTGAGCTATCTAGTATAACAAACTAATGACTTGGTGACTGATTTTTTTATTTTTTTATTTTTTTTGTCATAACAAACAGCTTGCTGGGAGGATTGATCATAATTATCAGTTTATATATGGTATTGTGGGGGAAGAAAAAAGAGGCAGAAAAGAGTAACAAATTGGTGCCGATCGAGAATGCGACTCCTCCCGATTTGGAAATGCAGGAGAAGGAAGAAGTTGACAAGAAGAACAGGAGTACAACTAATGTGTAAAATCGTGTCAAGAGTATCTCTCGAATTTATTAAACGACCAATTTGAACTCAACAGATCGAAGAATGAAGCATTAATTTGGCTGAAATGGGTACAACTAGCTAGCTATAGATGAGCCACATCTTATAGAGGTTAAGAATTTTGGCTAATGGAAGACTAATCCGGCAGAACTGGATCTTGTGCTCGTCAGAACTAGCAGATTAGGGTTTTTTTTTTTTTTCCTCCCGGAAGTTAGGTTACAAAATTGTGTAAAAGCCACATTCCACATCCTATCAATGGAATTTGGTGTTCCTTCTTGTTGTTGTTAAATAATGATTGAAAAAAATGTTAAAATTGCGGTTCTACTAATCCTATTTTTTAATTATTATTTTGTCGCGTGTGGTCACTATCAATATAGTTGGCGTAAAAGTAGTCAAGTTGGGTGATTGAAATCAATTTTCAAATTTACTTCGGTTTCAAAAAAATTAAACCATTTTTCAGTTCAAAAATTGAATTGTTTTTAGGGAAAGCGACTACTGGAGATTATTGATATATCAAAAAATAAAAAATAAAAAAAAAGCGATAGTTTCCCAGTAAATTTGGAAGACGATTTTTTCCTTTTTCTTAGAGAAAAATTAGATTACACACATTAAAAAGGTAAAAAGGTAGCTTCCTTCTCGGTATTAAAACTACTAAAATTGAAAAGGTAAAAAAATGCGATTGTAGAATTGAAATTTGCTTAGTTTTGTTTTTTAACTCACTGGGGAGAAACAAAATTTACTACAAAAATAGTACTCCCTCTATCCCAAAATTATTGTCCACTTTGATATTTCATTTTTAGTACAATTTAAACTAAAAATAAAAACTCAAACTGGACAATAATTATGGGACGGAGGGAGTATAATAAGAAAACTCCCAATACACTTTGTTATCAGATTAGAATTCCTTAATATAATAATTATCAGAAGAGAAAAAGAAAACCCTTCCTCAAACCCCTTCAAGCAATCCGCAATCGCCTCCAGCGTCGCGACTCGATTGGTGAGTGCTTCACTCCGTCAATCTTTCATTTTTTAATTTTTTTTTTTTGAAGAGTTTATTGGAATAATTGTTGAATGCGTGCCTTGGAATTCAGATTAGACTTGGTTTTGAAGGAATTTTTTTTCTTTTTCCTTTTTTGATTTTTTTGTTCTAGAAACCACTAAAAAAAACTTGTAATTTATAACCATGGAAATGGACGTCTGTGTTAAAAGTTGTGGTTAATTAACCTCGAAATACCCACGATTTAGCCACGAAACTTTGACCAAAACTCAATTCTCTAAAAATTATGAGTTAGCCACGACATTAACCACGAATTAAGAATAGATTAACCACGGACAAACATAAACGTGGCTAATTTTCTTCCCGTCATTATATTTGCTACGGATAAGACACGACTTTACATAAACGTGGCTAATTCTCTTCCCTGTCATTATATTTGTCACGGATTAGACACGACTTTTTGTCCATGGATATAAACTTTTGTTAAATAGTAGTTAAAATATTGTTTAACCATGAATTAATCACGTCTAATCCCGTGGTTAACTTTTCGGTAGTAAAAGTCGTGGCTAATATTAGGAATTAGCCACGCTCAATATCGTGGTAACGTTTATGTGGTTAAAGTCGTGAATAACGTTAGAAATTAGCCACGTTCAATGTCGTGGGTAACGGTTGCGTGATTAATGTTGTTGGTAATATTTGATTTTAGATATGTATTTCACCACAGTGTAATTTATGCGTAATTAATTTCGGAAATAATGTTTAAGCAACCATTGAATTACGTAGGAAAAAAAATTTATTACGAGATGTTTCACAATTAAATCCTGAATAAGAAATTGACAGAGTAGAATGAGGACGAATGAATAACAGTTTCCGTTGGTGAGGGTTGATTATGCTGACTTGTTAAGAGGAAAAATAATTAGTATTCATTTAAAAATATTTTATCACTTGCAACATTTTCTTTTGATTTATACTTTCTCATAAAATACATTAATTCTCCATAATTAGGCATAAGAGACTCAAATGTCATATTTCACAAAAAATGGAGGATCTATTTGTGTTCTTAGATAGATGCTTATAATTATATTATAGCACCCTAAAAATTGAAAATTTCCCACATAAAATGCATTGACTTTTAAAATAGTCCTTTAAACTTATAATAATTATAGTATGACACCCTAATAGTGACATTTTGTATCAAGTAACATTTTTCATAATTTTTTCAAGTAATTAGATTAAAGTTGATTGATAATATTTCTAATGCATTTCAAATCTATAAATATTAGACAATAATGAATGTATGTAAACTTCTAATTTATTAGGCACAGAGTTACACTTCTAAGTTATGAATTAGTAGTTAACACATATACAAAAAAGCAGTCTTACAAGAATGCATCATAAAAGCAGTATTATATTTTAAATTATGATATACTTTTACATATATCTAGTAATCGCAGTATAATTCATAATACTTTTACATGAATCTAGTATATAAAATTATTATAATATAATATTACATACATGTAGTAATGGTGATATAATTCTCTATACTTAGTTTATCGGTTGATTAGGGAGACCAGTAAAAGACACCACTATACAATATCATAATCGATCAGTAAGTCATAAATACATACCTACTTTACAGTAACATTAAAACATTTAGTTTAAGAAAAAAAGCTAATGATTATGAAATAATTTTAACATAGTAATTTTATTTTATTAAATGATTCGTGCAGGGAACTTTCACAAGAATTTTTATTAGGGAATGAATCATGGCCGTCTATACTTATATCCTTCCTTTAAAGGTTTATGCATATAAGCATCAGGAGATAGTTATGATTCTTTTTTTTTTTTTGGGGGGTTTAACCAGGGCGGTACCTGGCGAGGATGGTACCCGTTTTATTGCTGATAAAGAAAAAGGACTGGCAGTGCTTAAGACTTCCCAGTATACATGATTCAACCACCTCGTTCCTTGTAAAATTCTTTGTCAATTTTTTCCTGTATGCATCACCAGTATTAAGTATCAACAATGAATATCTCCAACAATCTTTCGCTAAATAGTCTTATTGAGTAAACCATAAAATAATTTTACATATATTTAATTATTGAAATTTGATTTTTCATAGTTTGCTATATATTTAATTAATGAAATTGTTTTTTATAGTTTTTTATATGCTAATAAGAAAAAATAAAAAATTGATACACCATATAATATAAAAGTAAGTAAATCATTAATATACATATACTTTTACAAAAAAAAAAAAACATAAAATATTTAGTTTTAGAAACAAAGCTAATACTTACAAAAGGGCGTAACATAGTTACAACACACGTAAATTTAGTTTTTCAATTAATTAGACAAATAAGAAATTAAATTATTACATCGCTGTTGAAACTAAATTTTTTTTGTTATAGATAACAAACATGTATTGTAAGTTTCAAGTGCAATAATAAGAATTTGTCTAAAACATATTAATCATGATGTCATCCAAAAAAATTTGAACATTTTATTATCACTAATTTAGATTTTGCGTAAAACTTATAATCATAATACTATTATCTAAGAGAATTTGAACACTCTTTACCACTTAATAATTGTACATTAAAACAAGTAGTATCATTTAATTGGCATAACATTAGAATTTACTATACCATAAGAAATCATGTTCAATAAAACCGTACAATATTAAATGAAGGAAAAAATCCACTTTATGTACCCTATGAATAGGGGGTCTCCAAATTATGTACCCTAAGAATTGGTCTCTCCAAATTATGTACCTTATGTTTGAAATTTGTTGTTTAAGTACTTTTTCAAGGGCAAAATGGGAAACTAACAAGTTTTTTTCCTAACCTACTTTGTTGTTGCCCCCAAACTTCTAGAAGAGATCAAATTGCACCATTAATTTTATTGATTTTTTTAGAAAAATTTATCTTTTAGAAAGATTTCAGAAAATTACACTTAGATTTGTTGTCAAAAATTTCCTATGACTTTCGGCACTTATTATATTTGACGTACATATTTTTGTATTATAAAGGATTTTTCTTTATTAGTAGTTTTATTTATTTTTATTCATCATTTTGTATGATTATTTTAAAGATATTCTTTTAGTTATGCTTTTTCTTTTAATACTTTTTTGTTCAAGTTTTTCGCACTTTGATGCATTTCTAGTAACACATAATTTTTTAAGAGTTTGTTTAAAATATAAATATAACTTATAATAAGAAAACAAATAGCTAAAATAAAAAATATGTACATTAAAAAGAATACGAGTGCATTTTTATTATTTTAGCTATGTTTTCCTTATATTTTAGGTAAATAAAAATAAAATAAAAAGGTATACATTTCTAGAAATGCATCAAAGTACCAAGAACTTGAACAAAAAGTACAATAAAAGGAGTACTTTTTTTTTTAAGTAATCATGCAAAAAGACATATAAAAATATTAAAGAAACTAATAATAAAGAAAAACTCGTTAGAATAAAAGCAAATATCTACGTCAAAAACAATAAACACCAGAAGTCATGGAAAATTTTTGACCAAAAATCTAGGTGTAATTTGCTGAAATCTGACTAAAAAATAGTTTTATGTAAAATCTATAAAATTTATGATGTAATTTGCTTTTTTTCATAAGTTTGGGGGCAAAAACAAAATAGGTTTGGACAAAAATTTGTTAGTTTTCCATTTTGCCCTTGAAAAAGTACTTAAAACAACAAAATTCAAATATAAGGTACATAATTTGGGGAGACCAATTCTTAGGGTATGTAATTTGGAGACTCCCTATTCTAAGGGTACATAAAGTGGATTTTTCCCTTAAATGACTAAATATTATTTTCCCATTTATAATTTCCCTTTTTATTTGTGTGTGTGTGTGTGTTTTTTTTTTTTTCTGGATGGGCGGGGAACTCCAAAAAGGTGGAGGGAATCCAAAAAAAAAAAAAAAGTATTTGGCCTAAAATTCAAGTTTTAGTTTTTGCCTACCCCGCTAAAG